TCAACCCTTGTGCAATTTTAAACCAAAGGAGATCTTGTGAGAAATTATTTGATAAGTGAGAGGGAAAATTTTGGGGTACAACGGCCTATATTATAGGGACATGACTATTTTTCGAGGCAACGAGCGAGGTTACCCTAGAGGTGCTTGTGTGAAAAGTGTGTTTGATTGCATACATTTTGTCTTGAGATTAGGGTTTTCTAAACATTGATTTTATCTTGCCATACACACCCTAATTACTAAAAATTATATTAAAATGATAAATTTGCGGAAATTAAAATCCTACACTATTACATCATTTGGGAAATTGGGGTACAATTTACAAATGGGGGTGAAATGGGAGCTTACATATTACAACCATATTGAATAGCTATGAAGAAAATATGTGAAATACGTAAAACAATGTAAAAGAGAGGAAAAATCATTTTTTTTAACATTATGTGTTGACACATGCATCTATGCATCGACACATAACTTTTCCTTGCCCCTGTAAAACCAAATCAACTCAGTATGAATTGATGCATAACGGTATGTGTCGACTCATTCCTTGTTTGTGTCGACACATATGCGTTTTGTGTCGACTAATGTGCCTTTTTTATTTTTGTTTTGTGCCTGTTATAGCAGTATGTGTCGACTCATGAGGCTTTATGTCGACTCATAGCCTGTTCTATCACTAAAATGAGTCAACTCATGTGAGTATGTGTCGACTCATGCTGCAATTTTTTCACTCTAGCATTGTTTTAATATTTGTACAAGTCAGTTTTTAACATGTAATTGACAAAAATAGAAGACAAACAAAGGGTTAGCTTAAAGGGCAATGGTTACTATATTTTATCTTCAAAAATGAATCACTAATGATGCTTCAAATGAAGAGTTTAAAGTCAAGAATAATTACCTTGAGATTGAAATTTGTGCTTTGATTTAGTGCTGGAAGAATCAAGTTGCAAGTGACTATTTTTTTTTTGGTAAATGGTGATGATGTAACATAAGTTATTCTTCTGTTTGAACAACTCATATATGATGTATGTAAGATGTTTAGATGGTTTGATTAGACAGAACTTGTAAGGTATGAAGGGTTCAAAGATTAGGACTTCAAAACTCAAGAGTGGAAGCTTTGTGGACTGTTATGACTTTTTTGAATATGAGATTTTGAGGGTTTATCAACACAACAAAACTTTTGGCCTTTCCCTCTATTTTTTCTGACCTCTTTCTCTTGCAATTGACCTCTCTATTTATAGAGAAGGTTTAAGACTTGAAACAACTCAGATTTTGAATCACATGTTATGGCTATCTTACTTGTTTTTGAAGCAAGCATGAAGAGCATGTTTCCAATGCTTGTACCAAGCTATCTAAAGTGGTTGATCACTTTAAACATGTTTGTTCTGACCTCAAGAAATTGACTTTGGGATTAAAGTGAACTTTTCAAGAATGGATATGTTGCTTTCTTCCAAAAATGGAATGATCACTTGGACAAAGGCTCAAACACTTGGATCATAGTTTAACCAGCTGCGTAAGCATTCAATTAAGGAGTGATATACAAGTTTGAGGCTTGTAAAGTGAAGATTATGCAGCATAGCTAAGATTTTGGTTTCTTGTTCATCACAAATATGCCTTGTAAATCAAGAATGAATGCCCAAGTTCAGGTCCTTGAATCTCCTAGCTCAAATATGATAAATTCAGGCTCTTTGATATTTTGGAAAGCTTGAAACATCCTTTATAACTTTCATGTTGGTCATTTTGACAAAACCATCTTGGAACTATGTGAAAAGTGCCAAGAAGTTGGGATAAAATCCCGACCAAACCTGCTGAAAATTTCTCTAAGTGTTTATTCAAAAATGCCATGACTTCATGAATTTATAACTCAAAATATAAGCACTTCCAGGACTTGACCTACAAAGAAAAGTTGTAGATATCATCAAGATCTAGAACTTTCATGTTGAAAGTTTTCCTTGAATCATCATGCATCATGGTAAAAATTTGGCACAATATCATGAAAAAAAGTTAACTTTCTAATCCTTAGAAAAATTTCTAAGTCTTAGAATTTTGACTTTTCAAACATAATTTTGACTTTTTGATTTCTTGATGAACAATATTCATATTTTGACATGTCTTGATGAAATATGATTTTTGAAACTTATTTTTGATCAAAAAGTCAAAGTTTATCTTTTCAGTGTACAATTGACTTTTTCATTTGTTTAGTTGTTTTTAGGTCATCTGATCGATTGATTGAGCAATTTTGTGATCCAATGCTTGAAACTCGTCATGAGAATTCTTGGAGGTCCATAATAATCCATGAAAGTCTTTTGAGGCATTAACAGTCCAATTGTCCTTGTGCAAACTCAAACCCTAATTTGAGGCATCAGTATTGAGGGGATAGCCTGACCTGATCAATCCTTGTGCAAACTCGAGCCTTTGAAGATCTTGTGAAGAATGTATTGAGAAAATAAGAGGGAAAATTTTGGAGTATAACATATCATAACTTATGTTTTCTACCTTTGATACCCATATATTTTTGAGTCCTTTGATGTTAGTGTAATCCATAATATGAGTAGACATCTTTCTATTTTTACATTCATAGTCCTCTTTATAAAAGTATGAAGGGGGGTGTCCTTAATTGCTGTCATTACTCTTTTTGATAAAACAGAACATGGCAACATGTATTTATGTCTTTATTATAGTAATTGCATTTTTGGATTTTGGATTTTGACCTTTTTTTTTTGCATTGTAAATATTGCTAAAGCTTTTACTATTTTTTTTGGAGTCATAAATACATGTTGTAAGATGCTCTTTGGTAACCTAACAAAAGATTCAAGTTGTCTTTCCCTTTAATGAATTTATCAAGTGTGTTTTAAAGATCATTATTTTTATTTTTTAAAAAGTTACATTGATCACAATTGATAAATTTATCTAAGATTTCGTGAGAGGGGAAAGAGTTTTAAGTTAGATCATTTGTCTCTCTCTAAGACATTTTACTTTTCTAACAAGTTTTTATTTTTCAACTCTAGGTAAGAGACGGTATCTTTGGAGGTAGAAATAATTTATTCTAATTTATTTGTTTCCTTTGTTAGCTTCTTATAAATATGAAATAAGCCTTGGTAAGAGAAGAGAGAGGTTACATCATCGTCTTGATGATTTTCCATGAGATAGAGGTTTGCTTTTTCCTTATTTAAGGATCACATATCATCGTTATCCAAGTATATATATATATATATATATATATATATATATATATATATATATATATATGCTCTTTTTTGGGATTTCTTGAACTTTCTTTGATTTTGGTTTTTTCTCGGGTTAATTTTGAGGGCAATTTGTCTTTATGTGTCATTTCTCTCCGCATGACATACAGGAATGAAGGAGAAACTTTCTTCACTTTGCTTCTAGAGCCTTAAGGTTTATTTTTCATACTTTACGAATTCTTTGAATTTATGAAATATGAATTCCATGAATTCATTACTTTTACTTTGACAATCTTTATCTTTTGACTCTATATCTTTAATGCTTGTGGCTTTTAGTGCGATACATTTCTTCTTTTTTTGTCACCTTCTTTGTCATCAGCAAGTCTTTTTAGTTTCATCTTGTGCTCCTACAATTTTCTAAAAAGAATGTGTATGTCTATAGTCGCTAAATCCTTGTATTCACTAATAGTTATGACTTTGGATTGCGAGCTACGATTTAGGCCTCTAAGAATTTTTACAACTAGTTCTTCATTTGAAAATATTTTTCCCAAAATTTTCATATCACTCACGATATGGATGAATCGTGTTAGCATTTGATTTATGTTTTTTTTTTAGGTTTCATTCTGAAGAGTTCATACTCATGGTGTCCAGCCTTGCCCTTTTTACCTTAATAGTTCCTTCATGGGTAATTTAGAGGATGTCCCATATTTCTTTTGTTTTTGCATGAGACACTTGCAAAAACTCATCAAAGGCCGAGAGCGATAGTGATGACAACTTTAGCCTTTAAGTTGCGCTGCATATTTTCTTTATCATCTTTGATCCAATCCTTTTCATATTTGATTTCTACAACACCATTAACTTTGTGTGCGAGAATAAATGGCTTGTGTTAATCAATCATGTTGTTTTCCTTGTATGCTATTCCAACATTGTGAAAAAAAATATCAAAGAATCGTTAGGAAGTTGTTTTAGTAGTTATAAACTCAAGATCAGTAAAATAAAATGAGTGAATAGTATTGTGTAAAAAAATATTTTACAATTACAAGGATTTTATATTGGTTTTGTATACAACTCATGGGAAATGTAATTCCATAACCCATGTCTCTTTGGTTATGTGTCGCAACCGAAGAGAAAAATAAAGGATTTTATATCTGTTCACTATTTACTCGATGTGAAAAGTGAGAAAAAAATTCTCGATTAACCTCTCAGATGAAAAGTGACGCGCTTTCAAGTTTTTCACTTTGGTATGTGACCTTAGGAGAAATATAATACACTTTCCATTACACTCTATGTTACTACGTCCACCAAAATGATATAAAAACCATTTTTCAACTGAAATAAAAACTCATTGGAACTCTTTTTTCTTTTCAAGCCACGTTACTAATTCTCTCAACATCATAATCGGTAGAGTCAAATGTCAATTACTATTGTGTTTACTATTGTGTTTAGCACTTTACCAGCATTGATAGAATTTTAAGTGGCTTCATAACTGCGAAAAGAGTGAGGTGCGAACAGTTTATAATGTGGTACGTTAACAATTTAATAAATATGGCGTTACACCGGAGTCCTAGCTCAAATATTAAATTCATTTATCAAAATTAGTCATCAAATATTATAAGCTTTTCAATCTTTATATATTCAAATAATTAGATCGGTTATTCTTTTACTAGCTAGTTGCTTCCCTTCCTACCAACCTATACAGCATTAAACTTCATAACATTTGAAATGATATAATGATACGTTATATAAAGTCATCCAATGAATTACACAATTATATCTAAAACAAATAGCCTTTGAGTAGATCAAATCATTCATTTCATTTCAATGGCACACTCTTCAAATTTTAACCCTATTGTAGTTATACTTTTTGGTTTTATTTTACTACTGGCTGTTCTTGTCCCTAGAAGTGAAGCTAGACCAAGATCATTCTTTGTATTTGGAGATTCTCTAGTTGACAATGGAAACAACAACTATTTACTAACAACTGCACGCGCCGATTCTCCTCCATACGGAATCGATTATCCAACTCGTAGACCAACCGGTCGATTCTCTAACGGATTCAATATTCCTGATCTCATCAGCTAAGTTTCCATGCATATTTATATCAAATCTATCTATCTATCTATGATTTCGCCTAATAGAACACATCTATAACAAACTATGTTGTTTCAGGTCAACAACTTGGTGCTGAATCTACATTACCATACTTGAGCTCAGAATTAACAGGAGAGAATCTTCTAACTGGTGCAAATTTCGGTTCAGCCGGAGTTGGAATTCTTAATGACACCGGTGCTCAATTTGTAAGTACATTTCGATATTGTGATAAAATGCGATCAAATATGACTCATGTAACCGCAATTACAATTCGCTATGTTTAACAAATTTTTTTGCAGATGAATGTAATAAGAATGCATATGCAACTAGATTACTTTGAAGAGTATCAACAACGATTAACTGCTCTAATCGGTGCATCGCGCACTAAACGACTTGTTAATCAAGCATTGTTTCTTATGACAGTTGGAGGCAATGATTTTGTAAACAACTACTACCTTGTTCCTAATTCTGCAAGATCTCGGCAATTTTCGTTACCACATTATGTCAAGTTCATTATTTGTGAATACAGAAAACACTTGCAGAGGCTATATGATTTGGGTGCACGGCGAGTTCTTGTGACAGGGACAGGACCGTTAGGTTGTGCCCCTGCAGAACGCGCTATGCATAGTACTAATGGAAGGTGTTCTTTTGAACTTCAACGCAGTGCGGCATTGTACAATTCTCGACTAGAACAAATGTTGGAAGGACTCAACAGGAGATTCGGTAATGACATTTTTATTGCTGCAAATACAGCACAAATGCACAAAGACTTTGTTGCTAATCCAACAACTTATGGTAATGATACTTTATACTTCATATTGTTCTTATATATATATATAATAATGATTGAGTTAGGGGTGGAAAACGGTCATGTCTGTCCTATTTAAGTCATTCCGCAATAAAATGGGACTGTACGGGATATAGTTGAAAATACGGGTCTAAGACTTTGGCCCAAACTGTAAAAAAATAACGGTGGAACAGGCATGCAAACCTTGAACTTCTAAAGATTAAAAGTTGCAAAAATTCTTATTATCCGCAAAGGTCTAAAAAAACGGGATTGACTAATTAGAGGGTGGTGACCTAAAACATAGGCCTACCCCGAAAAAAATGCAGAAAACAGAAATGTTAGATCAGACTTGTTTTGCCACGCAGGTCGAGTGACATTTAATTTATATTGTTGAATAATGTGTAGGATTTGTGACATCAAAAGTAGCTTGTTGTGGTCAAGGACCCTATAATGGTATTGGTGTGTGCAGAACAACCTCCAACTTATGTTCCAACAGAGGCTTGTATGCATTTTGGGATCCATTTCATCCATCTGAAAAGGCAAATAGACTTATTGTGGAGCAAATTATGTCAGGTTCAACAAGATACATGAAGCCAATGAACCTTAGCACCATTTTGGAATTGGATGCTAGCACATGAATTTATGATGAAATATTATATAAATTATCTCTTTGTCCAAGAGATTGTAAGCTTATATTTGATTGATGATGCGGGTTAAGATATGTATAATTCTTTTTACCTCTCTAGTATAGGATCTTGCAATACATCTATAATTATAAAATTAAAATTAATATTTAACATCATAAACTCTCTAATGGGATAAATATCAAGAATGATTTTCTATATCAAATAATATGATGACACTCTCTCTACTCTTTCATCGTGGAGAAAACTATTTTGGTTTATTTTGGTTTTTTTATATATTTTATATCATAGTGGAATTTTGCATTTGTTAAGGAACTTAAATTTTTTTGAAAAATTAGCAATAAACTAAAATCAAATAAAAATCGCAAAAGAATAGGATCTTGCAACTTTATGTTTACTTTGTATGTATCTTCTTTTATAAAAAAAACTAGTTTTTATACATTTTATACTATATGGTAGAATTTTGCATTAGTTATTAGTTAATATTAGAAAACAATGTAGAGTTCCAAAAACTTTGTAGAAGCAAGAGGCTCAGTGAGAGAAGAGTCATGAATGTGTTGAATTTGAGATTTTAACGTGTCAACCGGAAATATATTATTGAAATTTCATCATTTTTGATAATTTTCAAAAAATTCTGAAAATTTCAAATTTTTGATATATTGTCAGCAGAAGTTTTTTTCTTTTTCAATTGATTTTATCTGCACATTACTGATTTTTTTTGGAAATTGCAAGTTTGGCAAAATTTCTGGTAAACTAGAAATTTGAAATTTCTGCAGTTTTTGAATTGTTCTAGAATTTTAGGAAAAATCTAGCATAATCTGCAAAAAATTGAAATTCATATCGCCTTTAGAAATTTTTAGTGAGTCGCTTCCGGAAATTTCTAAAATACAAAGAAATTTTGATATTTTTGACTCAGGCGATACCGAAAATTCACTAATGTGTATCAGAAATTTTGTTTTTCTGAAATTTTCACCAATGTGTTTTTTTTAATAAAAAAAAGGTAATTTTTAGGGTTAGTAGTAGCATGGGTAATTTGGTTAATACGAAAATACAGGGGGGTGCCATGTTAAAATCTTGTTGAATTTGAATGAGTTTAGCCATGACCTTTTCTCTAACAAAGAAAATATCTATCTCCACATGTTTGGTTCTAGAATGAAGGACTAAATTGTAAGCCAAAAGGACTGCAAATTGGTTGTCACAAATGATAATAGGGGGAGAAGTTGTGACGCAAGGCTCCTGAAGTAGTGTTTGAATCCACAACAGATCTGCAGTAGCCTGGGCCAAGCTTCTATATTCAACCTCGATGTTGAACCTTGCTACTACTGGTTGTTTCTTGGACTACTATGTAATAAAGTTAGACCAAAAAATGGATGCACCTGAGGTGCTCCTTCTGTCATCAGGCTCTAATGCCCAATTTGCATCACAATAGACCTGTAAAGTGGGAGTGATAGAAGGAGATATAGGGGAAAGCAAGAGACCATGATTGGTAGTGCCTTTTATATATCTTAAGGTCCTCTTGACAATAATCCAGTGAATCTCAAAAGGATGTGCCATGTATTGACACACCTTGTTGACTGCATAAGTGATACCAAATCTTGTAATGGTGGCATATGCAGGACCCCAACACATACCTGTACATAAGGGTCAGAGAGAACAGGAGAGCCATTCCTAGTGAGTTTACAAGTGGACTACATAGGAGTAGTGACACGTGTAGGTTCAATCATATTTGTCCTCTAAAAGAGATCCCTTAAGTATTTGGCCTGAGTAAGAAGAATAGGTCAAGGAGAAGCATGTTTGACCTCAATACTGATAAGTGCAAATTATAGTTATTTTTGTACTTTTTGTTGCACTTATTGACTTTTTGTTTTAAATATCATTGAATAAACCTAACTTTTATGTAAATACGTTTAGTTTGTGTTTATTTTTGTTTTATGCATATAGTGTATCGTTTGATGTTTTTCCATTCATTTTGTAGGTATTTTTTGCATTTTGGAGCATTGAGGAATAAGGTGTCGAAGACACGGCTCCGGATGTGTGTTTTCGGAATAAAAGATAGGTTTTGGGACATGCTGTCCAAAAGAGTTTGCTTAGTGTGCATAGGCCGCTAAGCGCGAGTTGCGCTCAACGCATTTTGTAGCGCATTGCTTGCATTTGACAATTTGGAAGAACCAGTGTTTTAAAGCCCGCAAAGCGCGGATAGCGCGCTTAGCGCGGTTTAGGTCGATTTGATGTGTAAAATAAGCAAGTTGCGCTTAGCGCGGTCTGCTGAGATTTGTTTTATAACTTTCATTTCAGCTCATTTTTAGGGATGGTTTTGGGGAAGTTTTTGCTCCCAACTCCATCAACCTTCAATTTTTTTAGGATTAGCTTAGATAACAACTATGGAGCTTGCATACAGATGATCTGGGGTGGATTGCTCTTCGATCGGCGCTGACAAACCGATAGGTTTGCGGTTCATTTATCTTTTTCACTGTGTATTCTCTATTGGTTGGGTTTATATGTATATTTTCTTTGAACTTATGTATATTTATCGCCCTTGGCGTTATATTAAAATTGCTTTATGAATCTTTGTCGATTATTGTCCTGGATTTTTGCTCTGTGCTTAGCGATTTGAGTTGCTATAGACATATACTGCTTAGATTCTCATCTAGGATGATTATCTAATAGTGTCTGAATTCTAGAGATAAATTTAGTGATGTTATTCACTTAGGGTGTTTGAGATTAATGCCTCTGTGTTGTTTGTGTTGCTCTGAGAGATCGTCGATGCAAGCGAGCACGATTGACTTTTGTGTTGTTGAGGTGGTTGAGAGATCGCTATCGAGGTGACACAATAGTCCTCTCAATTTAGGTTAGAAATGACTTAGGTTGTGAGTGACACGTGATGACATTGATAAATAGTGTAGGTTTAGAATAACAGTTCGATAGGTTTAAGTCTGTGAGAAGTAGTATATATGCATGCTTGATAAGTTATTCATTTTTCCCTTTTTATACATTTATTTTATGTTAATACATTTTCTAAACAAACTCATTTAAAACCAAACTCATAAATGCAAGGAATTATCGAACGGAAATTGAATAACCAATATTTGTGGACACAATACAATATAATGTATATCACCCAGTAAAAATAATACTTTACTTTTTGCTTGCTGCTTTACCGCCGCAACAAAATGGAGATGTTGTATGGGGATTGGTTCTATTGTTTTCGCATTGCGATAACTCTTTTGTTTTTTAGTTTTGTAATTAATGTATGTGTTGTATATAAATTGTACATTAACTTGTATATGATACTTGTTGTAACGCGGTGGGAGAACTAACTTGGTTGTTTTGTGTTTGATCGCAATTGTTGCGGTTAGCAAGAGTCGCCACCGACTTTTCTTTTATCCAATAAGGAAAAGCTGAATATAACAGGAAAGACCTTTCGAGATTATTTCTTGAGTTTGGGGGGTAGATTATAAAAAGGGAAGGTGTTAGCACCCTTTTTATCCATAGTTATCTACGGGTTCTTAGTTGCTTGCTAGCTCACTTGCTTTTTGTTTGAAAGTGTGTTTGTGATGTGGGTTTTGAATGTATTTTTTAAAAAAATGTCTTTGTAATGGTTCTCGTCTCTATAAGAACGCGTACAAAGTGTTTTATCTTTTGAAAATGTTTCAAAAGTGAAATGTTGGTGTATAAAATGTTTTTGTTGTGAGCAAGCGAGCAACTAGGAGTATCCTACCTACTCAAAAGGTCTTAAATGTCATTTTCCTCCTCCTTTAGATGTTGCTATCTTACAATTAATTTGGTAAGAAGCTCCATCGTTGGATGTGAAGGGACGGGCGTGGGACGTTTGTATAGTCATAGAAGGAAACCTATGGGACGTTTTAGCAATATCGTTTACGGACTAGATTGTTTACCGAAGGCAACATTTGAGGGTCATCGAGGGACTACGATCTTTTATCGAGGGTATTTGCTAAAACGCCCATATTCGAGGGATATGACTATTTTCCGAAAGGCAACAAAGAGGGATTACCCTAAGGGTGCAAGTGTGTTTGATTTACATGCATTTAGTCTTTATTAGGGTTATCTATTTGTTGATTTTATGTCCTACCATACAAGCCCTAATTACTAACATTTATATTTGAAAACGATAAATTGCGGAAATGTAAAGTCCTACGCTATTACATCATTTAGGGATGGGGGTACATAATTAAAAATGGGTGTTTGCAAGACCTTTAAATCCTAATTATCTATTACAATCATATCGAATTGTACAATATGAAAAAAAGAAAAAAAGGAAAGGACTTGTTTTGAAAATGATTGTTTTTGTCTTAATAAATTAAAAGGAAAATAAATATTTAACAAAATAAAATATTTTTGATGTCTTTTTTATGTTTAATAAAATTAATACTGAAAATAATAAGAATAAAGGAGAAAAAGGAAAAACTTCATGAAAACAGGATCATCACATTGCTAAACACGAAAATGAAGGGGACCAGAAGTTCTGACGCTGTGTGCTGCAGCTCAGAAAGAAACGCCGGAAGTGATCAAAAGTTCTGGGTTGATGTCATTGGAATCCTGAAAGAAATGTTAGAGGGAAAAAATAGAAGTTCTGGGTTGTGTTTAGACAGTGGGAAAGAATCAGAAGTTATGTGTTGTGTTAAACAGTGAGTAAAAAGTCAGAAGTTCTGTGTTATTTTAAACAGTGAGTGAAAATCAGAAGTACTGTGTGTTAAAACAGCAAGAAAGCCTAGAAGTTTTGTGTGTTAAAACAGTAAGGAGAACTCAGAAGTTCTGTGTTATACTAAAACAGTGGGAAAGAAATACCCCCAAGTTCTGCGTTGTGTTAAACAGTGAGCAAAAAGTCAGAAGTTATATGTTATGTTAAACAGTGAGTGAAAATCAGAAGTTCTGCATGTTAAAACAGAAAGAAAGCCTATAAGTTTTGTGTGTTAAAACAGTGAGGAGAACTCAGAAGTTCTGTGTTGTGCTAAAACGGTAGGAAAGAAAGACCC